GAAGGAAGGAAGGAAGGAAGGAAGGAAGGAAGGAAGGAAGGAAGGGAAAGAAAAAAAGAAAATAAGTTTACATTCTAAGGGGAGAATCGAATCCACAATGCAACAGCTAAAAGGGCCAATAGAGGCAGTCCTTGACTTAGCAAGAGTTCCTTTAGTGTCCCAAAGGTGCTTTTTCAAGAGGCAACTGGACTTTCTGGGTTTTCTTTGAAGAAGCTTCTTGGATGAGAAGCAAAATAGCTTCAGAGAAAAGCAAGAAAGTCGAGTAGCCTCTTGAAAAAGCACCTTTGGGACAAACATGATCTGGAGGACTGAGAATCTCCATAGAGAGTTCGTTTAGTGACCGTTCAAAGTTACAACGGCACTGAAAAAAGCGACTTATGGCCATTATTTCACAACTTGCAACCACTGCAGCATCTCCATGGTCACGGGATCAAAATTCAGACGCTTGGCAACTGACTCATATTTACGACGGTTGCAGTCTTCCCTTGGGGTCATGGGCTCCCCTTTTGCAGCCTTCTGACCAGCAAAGTCAATAGGGAAACCAGATTCACTTAACAACCGTGCTAACTAACTTAACTGCAGTGATTCGCTTAACAAACGCGGCGAGAAAAGTTGTGAAATGGGACAAAGCTCACTTAACCGATTTCTCACTTAGCAGCACAAATCCTGGGCTCAATTGTGGTCGTAAGTTGAGGACTACCTGTAAAATCTTGAACTGCATTAATACAACCTCTGTGTCCTTGTCAAAGGACAGTAACGATCCCACCTGTCTACACTGGCCATTTCACCGTTGGGAGGGCAATTCTGGGCACGGCATCTTCAAAGGGACATAGAAAAGTTGGAGCTTTGGGAGAAGAAAAACGTAAGGGAGCTTGATAGGTTTTGTTTGCAAAAGGGAAGAGGCACGATAGCAATCTATCAATACAGGTAATCCTCCATTTATGACCATTATTTCCATTGCAAAGTAGTGTGGTTGTTAAGTGAGCCGCACCCCCATTTTATGACGTTTTTCGCCATGGCTGTTCAGCAGTCACCTCCATTTGCAAGCTTCTGACGGTCGACGAGGGGAGCTGGATTCGCTTAATGACTGCACGATTCATTTAACAACTGCAGGGATATGGCACAAAGGTTGTAAGATAGGCTGCGACTCATTGCCTTGCTTAGCAATGGAAATTGTGGTCCCAATTGTGGTTATAACTCGAGAACTACCTGTATGGCTTCTCTGCTGCCTGAGCAACTCCGAGAACTGAACTCCTGCAGGAATGCATTCAATGAAAATTGATCCATTCATGCATTTATTTCCAACGAGTGGCGCCTAGAGATCAAACACTCCCCTCCCACTCAGAAGGGTGGCAGTTTGATCCTAGGCAGCTGGCAGAAGTTTCTCTATCAGGGTGCAACAAGAAAATATCTGCTGCGAACTCTGCGTAGGTGTCGGGAAGGGCATCTGGCCAGTAAACGCTCAGCTCCACTCAAGTTATCCTGACTCTACCCCAAAATAAAAAGGATCATTGAGTCTATCATCTGCACCTCTGTAACTGTCTGGTTTGGTTCTGCAACCCAACAGGACAGACACAGACTTCAGAGAGTAATTAGGACCGCAGAAAAAAACAATTACTACCAACCTGCCTTCCACTGAGGACCTGTATACCGCACGAGTCAAAAAGAGGGCTGTGAAAGTATCTACAGACCCCTCACATCCTGGACATAAACTGTTTCAACTCCTTCCCTCAAAACAAATGCTATAGAGCACTGCACACCAGAACAACTAGACACAAGGACAGTTTTTCCCCGAACGCCATCACTCTGCTAAACAAATCATTCCCTCAACCCTGTTCAACTATTACAAAGTCTGCACCACTATTACTATTCATCTTCTCATCACCCCTTATGACCCTCCCTTCCCACTTGTGACTGTATGACAGTAACTTTGTATCCTTATGATTTATAACTGTTTCCTAGTATGATTTGATTGCTTATTGTACCCTATGACTATTATTAAGTGTTGTACCTGATGATTCTTGACTCTTGACGAATGTATCTTTTCTTTTATGTACACTGAGAGCATTTGCACCAAGACAAATTCCTTGTGTGTCCAACCACACTTGGCCAATAACGAATTCTATTCTATTCT